GGACTTTGTTTATCATGCTTCAAGGGAACTTATTATTACCTATTATTATTATTACCTGTTCTTTTTCTCCTCCTTCTCCTCCTCCCCCTCCTCCTTCTCCTCTTCCTCCTGCTCCTCCTTCTCTTCCTCCTCCCCTTCCTTCTCCCCCTCCTCCTCCTCCATCTCCTCCTCCTCCTTCTCCTCTTCCTCCTTCTCCTCTTTGTCTTTCTCTTCCTCCTCCTTCATTCTTCTGGTATCCTGGGCATTGCTTTTGGTCTCAAACTACTCAAAACCACGAAATTGATCTTCACTGACACTTCTTTCTGTTAGGGCATCACTTGGGAAGAGAAGAGTCCCAGATTTGCTGGGGAGTCACATATTTCTTACTGCTAGACATGCTGAAAAAGGAGGACTGAAATGGCATTCCCACAATGCACCACTGGCCTCCTGATTTTTTTTATATGGTGCACACTGACCATGGAGACCCATTCTCTCACATGTGGGCCTACCAGCTTACTCCTGCTTGATTTGAAGCTGCTAGAATTTATGCTTAAAATACGTCAGAAACAGTGGTGTATAAGACATATGAACGACCAAAACAGTCAAAGGGTTAAAACATTCAGTTGCTTGTTTGCTGTGAAAATAATTTCAAACCTTACATTATTAATGGTAATACAACATGAAACAGGTCAGTAACTTCCAAGGTATTCCAGGAAATGTGTGCATGGCTGATTACTTGGGGTAAAAAATTTGAGAAAATCGCACTTTTTTCAGTTTTTGCATAGGATAAGTTACCCTTCATGTACATAGTGCATAATGTTTTCTGTAATGGTCACGGTCACGGGCATCTTTATCGTGCATCTGCATTATTTATGTTATACCTAATATTATTCTGGAATAAATATGATACGTAGATAACTTTTATTGATAGTAATAGTATAATTATACAATATTTTATAGTGCCAAGAGGCACACCCCTGCACTCATCATGGTCAATCATGAGTTACTGAGACTGCTTGCTTCTCTCTCTCTGTATAGCTCTGTCCACTTTGTAACGATGCTACATGGTGAATTAAATACATATATCAGAAAGAACAACACTCTTATATGGGTGTGAAGCTTGGGTTGTAAATACTGTAGCGAGGAGGCGGTGGAGATGTCCTGTCTAAGGGCAATGTGTGGTGTAAATATTCAGCAGAGAATTCGGAGTGTGGAAGGCATGGAGTTAATAAAAGTATTAGTCACAGGGCTGAAGAGGGGTTGTTGAGGTGGTCTGGTCATTTAGAGAGAATGGATCAAAGTAGAATGACATGGAGAGCGTATAAATCTGTAGGGAAAGGATGGCGGGGTAGGGGTCGTCGTCAAAAAGGTTGGAGGGAGGGGGTAAGGTAGGTTTTGTGGGCAAGGAACTTGGACTTTCAGCAAGCATGCGTGAGAGTGTTAGATAGGAGTGAATAGAGACGAATGGTATTTGGGACCTGACGAGCTGTTGGAATGTGAGCAGGGTAATATTTAGTGAAGGGATTCAGGGAAACTGGTTATTTTTATATAGCTGGACCTGAGTACTGGAAATGGGAGGTACAATGCCTGCACTTTAAAAGAGGGGTTTGGGATATTGGCAGTTTGGAGGGATATGTTGTGTATCTCTATACGTATATGCTTCTAAACTGTTGTGTTCTGGGCATCTCTGTAAAAACAGTGATTATGTATGAGTGAGGTGAAAGTGTTGAATGAGGATGAGAGTATTTTCTTTTTGGGGATTTTTTTTCTTTTTGCGTCACTCTGCCTCGGTGGGATATGGCCAGAGATTAAAGAGGTGTGTGCAATGTGGACTAGGGTGCAAGCTTTTGTAGAGAAACACCACCGTGACGAAGCTGAAACAAGCTATATTTGTAACATGCTCAGTGACAAAACCCTGTCCCACTTCAGGGAAATCTTAGAGATGCCAGAAACAGAAAACTCTTGACAGTTATTCTGTGCAACAGGGGTCCAATGATTCTCAAGCTGGTCCTAGTGGCATTAAAAGACAAACAAGGGAAGTAACCCCAGAGAAGGCTTTGCTACCTAAAGTCTTTATTGATGGGGATTACCCTTCCAAACACTAACTCCTCCCTCTTTCCTCCTCCCTATCTTCCAGAAGCCAGCATTAGCCGTCAATAAAGGTATGTAATATTTCTATAATTGTTAAATTTTTTTTGTGTGTGAATATTTTTGTCTGGAAAGGATTAACTGTATTTCCATTAATTCTTATGGGAAATATTATTTCAGTTTTCGGCCATTTCGGTCTTAGGCTGAGCTTCTGGAACGGATTACGACCAATAACCGAGGGTCCACTGTATAGACATTCCTGGCACTAAAATAACATTTTCTCTGTTCATTTCTCATGTCTCCAGGCCATTCTTATATTACACTTGCTTTCCATTTTGAATTTTTATTCACACAAAAAATATAAGATTTACTGTTATGCAGAAATGCATATTAGACTTGCCAGTTGGACACATATTGGACAAATGACGTCATTTGTGTACTCTGGAATATCAGCAAAAATCAAATATTTCCTCTATTTCAAGATCAATTCCTGAAGAAACTTCTGTAGTGTTGACAGTCTTGACTTAGAAATTACATTACCAAGACCCTGATAAGTGATAAAGCATATTTGTTAACCAGTTTAATCGAAATGGTCCTTGATTTGATCCATATTATTACTTATGACTAGGGACTCTTCTACCCATACAGCCTTATCTGAAGCCAGGCTTCCCTGTTCACTATCTGGCTAACCAGGTTGTTGGTGCTAGTGTCCTGCAGGGCAACAGCGCTCACACACCTACCTTCTTCTTGAAAACTTCTTGCAGTAAAATTTCTAGCATACTGAAGTCTCGGATCATGGATGTTAAGTGTTCTCCTATGTAACCATGGTACTCGTGTTCTTCACTGGGTTGATTCTACATTTTTTCTTCTGTTTTTCACTCTAGTAAGGTGTTATAGCAGTGTATATAGTATTATGATAGTGAAAGTGTTGAATGATGAAAGTTTTTCCTTTCTTTTTTTTTTTTGGTCACCATGGCTCATTGGGAAACAGCAGACATGATAAAAAAAAAATATTATCATCAGGTATCCATTCCAGAGAGAACAAATCAAATGCTTTCAGGCATTCCAGAAGTTTAGATGTTTCTATGATTCAATCAGGGTAGTATACAATGTCAGTATATTTACTCATGTAACTACAAAGACATTCAGAACTGGCAAAGGAGATCTCCTAACTGAGGTCCAGTCATTTGGTAGTTAACAGAGGGTTATTACTAGCTAGTGATTCTGCCTAAATCACTTGGTCTGAATGTAGAAGGTTATGCTTTAGTACTAGCTGACACACTAGCGATGTATGTAGCCTTTTTCCTAACAATTGAACAAACAATACAACAAAACTTGTGTCCTTAATAGAATTATTTCCATTTTTAAATGTTTATCATATCAGCTATACACACTAAACAAGCTTTCCTTTTATAGCACAACAATAGGTTGCTATTGCAAGACTGGTTCACAGTACCTGAATACAGAACACAGGTCAACATCTGTATCCATGACTACGAGGAGATATAGGACTACCCAAAAACCAATGACGAAGTTTTCACAAGGAAACTGGCCTAGAACTTCTACACCTACTTGATCAACCAGGTTGTGATAGTTATGTAGACCACTAGCAGCAACAGCTGGTTGACCAGGCAGTTACAAAGGAAGTTTTACCTGAGGCCAAACAGCAAGAATACAAAAACCTTAGAAGTTGGGCTCAGGCATATCAATGAACTAAATCTTTCTTCTTTCAACACACCGACTGTATCCCACCGAGGCGGGGTGGCCCACCGAGGCAGGGTGGCCCAAAAGAAAAAAAACAAAAGTTTCTCCTTTTACATTTAGTAACATATACAGGAGAAGGGGTTACTAGCCCCTTGCTCCCAGCATTTTAGTTGCCTCTTATGACATGCATGGCTTATGGAGGAAGAATTCTGTTCTACTTCCCCATGGTAATAAGAAGAGAAAACAAGAACAAGAACTAGTAAGAAAATAGAAGAAAACCCAGAGGGGTGTGTGTGTATATATGCTTGTACATGCATGTGTAGTGTGACTTAAATGTAAGCAGAAGTAGCAAGACATATCTGAAACTCTTGCATGTTTATGAGACAAAAAAGACACCAGCAATCCTACCATCATGTAAAACAATTACAGGCTTTTGTTTTACACTCACTTGGCAGGACAGTAGTACCTCCCTGGGAAGTTGCTGTCTACCAACCTACTACCTAGGAATGAACTGTACATAATTACAAAAGTTTGTTTTACACACTGGTAGGAGTGCTGGTGTCTTTTATTTTTTCTATCTAGTAAACACGAAAGATAACAGGTACATCTTGCTACTTCTACTTGTGCTTAAGTCACACTACACATGCATGTACATGTATATACATACATATCCATCTGAGTTTTCTTCTATTTTTTAATAGTTCTTGTTCTTATTTATTTTCCTTTCATATCAATGGGGAAGTGGAAAAGAAACCTTCCTCCGTAAGCCATGCGTGTTGTAAGAGGCAACTAAAATGCCAGGAGCAAGGGGATAGTAACCCCTTCTGCTGTATAAATTAATAAATTTAAAAAGAGAAACTTTCGTTTTTCTTTTTGGGCCACCCTGCCTTGGTTGGATACGGCCGGTTTGTTGAAAAAAAAAAAAAAGCATTTGTTTCAACTTTTTTGGGTCACCTTGCCAAGGTTTGAGATGACCGGTAAGCTTAAAAAGAAAAGTTTAATTGTGGAGTAGTTTATGTTCATACCTGAAAGTTGAACTGAAAGGTTTCTTTAAATGTGTTCATGTTTGTCTTCTATATACAAATATTTTATAACATACTTGAAACTAAGGAAAACAATCAAATATTTAGGGGCAGATGGAAAAAATATTGTGGTTCAAGTAAGCAAGGGCACAATCATTTGATGTTAATATATGGCATAATTTATTTCATGATGCAAGTAGAACTGACCATTATCATCTGGCGGTGCTCCGTGGTACTTCAGGTGTAATCTCTTGCCCACTACCTCCGTTACAGTGGCAACTCTCATCTGAGCAATGCGATTTTTGTCAACAACTTCTAAATTTAGGCCAGGTCTGCAAAGCAATTCCTTTATGTGAAAAAAATAACAATTGAATTACATAAAACATAAACTCACTCTCTTGATCACTTGAAACACTTTTTACATCATAATTTTAATGTTCCTGTAAACTTCATGTACAGTAGAACATCATTTAACATGAGTTTATTTGGCACAATTCGAGTACTGCATGCTTGAAGAATTGCGGCACAATTTTATACAACACTTCGTAAAATTAATTTAACACAGATCAGTCTGCGGGAGGGGAAAAAAAATTCCCATTTTCTCAAGAGACCGCCTTGTTGTGGATCAGTGGGGAGACCTTCCGCCATCCCCTGCCACTCCCGACACCACCATCCCAGCATTCCTACTTCATACGTGTACAGTTCCTCTTCTCTGCTACAAGCTCGCGGTGTTTGTGAATTGTGCTTTAATCTTTTAATTACCATATCTTGTATCTGCCAAGTAATCATGACACCCAGTAGGCATTACAGTGTTGCTGGAAGTGGCAAGAAAAGGTACAGTGAACCCTCATGTAACGCTTTTAACCCTTTGACTGTTTCGGTCGTATATACACGTCTAATGAGCCACCAAGTTTGGTGTACATACTGTATACTCAAAAATTCTAGCGGCTTCAAATCAAGCAGGAGAAAGCTGGTAGGCCCACATGTGAGAGAATGGGTCTGTGTGGTCAATGTACACCATATAAAAAAAATCCTGCAGCACGCAGTGCATAATGAGAAAAAAAAAACTCTGACAGTTTTTTTTAGTTAAAATGCCGACTTTGTGGTCTATTTCCGTGCAGTATTTATGGTTGTATTCTCGTTTTCTTGGTCTCATTTGATAGAATGGATAACATATTGTAGAAATAGAGGTGATTTTGATTGGTTTTACTATGAAAAGAACCTGGAAATGGAGCTCGAAGTAGGGGAAATGTTTGATTTTTGCCGATGTTCAAAAGTAAACAAATGATGTTATTGTCCAATAAATGTCCAAGTAGCCATTCTAATATGCAGTCATGAATGGGTTGACATTATTTATACAATTATTACAATATTGCAGTAGTCTGCATAAAAGTAAATCTTCTATTTTTTGTTTGAATAAAAATTCAAAATAGAAAGCAAGAGTAATATCAGAGAGGCCTGGAGACATGACTGATGAACAAAGAAAATGTTATTTTAGAGCCAGGAATGTCTGCATTGTTCATTCTGGACCCCATTTTGAAATTGTCATATTTTTTAATTTTTCGTGAAATTGGCTAAATTGCAAATTTCTGGCCCTGTTATTGGGTAGTTGAAATTCGTAAATGGGCAGTTTCTTGTACTCAATCGATAGAAAAAAATGGTCAACTGGAACAACGGAATCAGCCGAAAATAGGGCTCAAAGTGGGCGAAATCGCCAATTTGTAAATACAGTGGACCCTCGACTAACGCTATTAATCCGTTCCTGAGAGCTCATCGTTAGTCAAAATAATCGTTAGTCAAGTTAATTTTCCCCATAAGAAATAATGGAAATCAAATTAATCCGTGCAAGACACCCAAAAGTATTGAAAAAAAAAAAATTTTAACACATGAAATATTAATTTTAATACACACAAACTGAAGAAGACATGCACAGTTACATGACACTTACCTTTATTGAAGATCTGGTGATGATTGATGGGATGGGAAGAGGGGAGTGTGTTGATGGTCTTAGTGTTTAGAAGGGGAATCCCCTTCCATTAGGACTTGAGGTGGCAAGTCCTTTTTCGGGGTTACTTCCCTTCTTTTAATGCCACTAGGACCAGCTTGAGAGTCACTGGCCCTCTGTCGCACAACATATCTGCCCATAGAGGCCTGTACCTCCCGTTCCTTTATGACATTCCTAACGTATTTCACAACATTGTCAGTGTCACCATTAAACACTTGTTCAGGTTTCAGTCCTTCACTTTCTATGTACTCCTTGAATTCCTGCACATATTTTTCAGCTGTTTTTTGGTCCAAACTGGCAGCCTCACCATGCCTTATCACACTATGTATGCCACTACGATTCTTAAATCTCTCAACCAACCCTTTGCTGGCCTTAAATTCACTCACATCACCACTAGTTGCTGGCATTTTTCTAATTAAATCGTCATGCAACTTCCTAGCCTTTTCACATATGATCGCTTGAGAGATGCTATCTCCTGCTACCTGTTTTTCGTTTATCCATACCAATAACAGTCTCTCAACATCTTCTATCACTTGCGATCTCAGTTTCGAAAACATAGTTGCACCTTTGGCAAGAACAGCTTCCTTGATTGCCGTTTTCTTGGCCACAATAGTAGCGATGGTTGATTGGGGTTTTGTGTACAGCCTGGCCAGCTCGGTGACATGCACTCCACTTTCATACTTAGCAATGATCTCTTTCTTCACATCCATAGTAATTCTCACCTTTTTTGCTGTAGGGTTGGGACTAGAAGCTTTCTTGGGGCCCATGGTGACTTATTTTGCAGTTGCAATCACTAAAAACGCTGTGATAATATGAAATGTTCCGACTGTATGCTTGGAAGCGACACGCGGTGGCTGGCTGGCTTGTAAACACTGGCCAGAAGTGGACGCGTCTCAGACGGAAGGAATAGTGTTGGTCGAGATTTATAGCGCTAATCGAGGCAAAATTTTTGCGATAAAATGTATCGCTAGTCAGATTTATCGTTAATCGATGCCATTGCTGGTCGAGGCTCCACTGTATGACCGAGGTCGCTAACTTTGCGAGAGCGTAATTCCATCAGTTTTCCATCAAATTTCATTCTTTTGGTGTCATTACCATCGGGAAAAGATTCTCCATCATTTCATAAGATTTTTTTTTTTTTTCAAAAAATTCCGACACCAGGAGACACTTCAGGATATGGGGTTGCGATAGTCAAGGGGTTAATCCGTTCCAGAGAGCTAGCCTTCAGCCAAATTAATTTTCCCCATAAGAAATAATGGAAATCCAATTAATCTGTTTCAGACAGCCAAAAGTATTAACAAAAAATATTTTTTTTAAAGATTAAATATAAAAGTGCATAAAGAAAACAATGACAAATAAATATAAAGCACTAATAAAATGGATAAATGAACAGTTAACATCATACTTACCTTTACTGATTTCACTTGACTTGTTGGTGCATGGTAGACACGTAGGAGGCAAGAGGAAGGCAAGTTTATTATGCTTCAATATGATGCTATCATCATTTCTAAGTCTTATTTTTTTTTTTAACAAGTCGGCCATCTCCCACCAAGGCAGGGTGACCCAAAAAAGAAAGAAAATCCCAAAAAGAAAATACTTTCATCATCATTCAACACTTTCACCTCACTCAAACATAATCACTGCTTTTGCAGAGGTGCTCAGAACACAACAGTTTAGAAGCATATACCTATAAAGATACACAGCATATCCCTCCAAACTGCTAATATCCCGAACCCCTCCTTTAGAGTGCATTGTACATTGTACTTCCCATTTCCAGGACTTGAGTCCTGGAAATGGGAAGTACAATGGATCAAAGTAGAATGACGTGGAGAGCGTATAAATCCGTAGGGGAAGGAAGGTGGGGTAGGGGGTCGTCCTCGAAAAGGTTGGAAGGAAGAGGTTAGGGAGGTTTTGTGGGCGAGGCGCTTGGACTTCCAGCAGGCGTGCATGAGCGTGTTGGATAGGAGTGAATGGAGACGAATGGTTTATTTGGGCCCTGACGATCTGTTGGAGTGTGAGCAGGGTAATACAGTGAGCCCTCGACCAACAATATTAATCCGTTCCTGAGAGCTCATCGCTAGTTGAAATTATCGTTAGTCGATTTAAATTTTCCCATAAGAAAAAAATGGAAATAAAATTAATCTGCTCCTGACACCCCAAAGTTTTGAAAAAAAAAAAATATTACCACATGAAAATTAATTTTAATACACACAAATTGAAGAAACATGTACAATTACATGACACTTACCTTAAATTGAAGATCTGGTGATGATTGATGGGATGGGAGGGGGGGAGTGTTGTGGATGGTTTTTAGTTTTCAGAAGGGGGAATCCCTTCCATTAGGACTTGAGGTGTCAAGTCCTTTTCCGGGGTTACTTCCCTTTTTTCTTTTAATGCCACTAGGACCAGCTTGAGAGTCACTGGATCTCTGTCGCACAACATATCTGCCCATAGAGGCCTGTACCTCCCATTCCTTTATGAATTCCTAAGTTTTTCACAACATTGTCAATGTACAGGTTGCCAAACACGGCTTGCAGTAGCGGGTGTGAGGGTGATTTTCATCAAAAAGGTTTGCACTTTAAAACCACATTGCACACCATTTCCTTAAAACTTTGAAGTAGGCAACTTTTTCCCAATTTTTCTATCCCTCCTCCGGAGCAGTTTCCTCAAAGGGCTGGCCTCTTGCTGTTGAAGATGATCTAGCAGTTCATCAGTATTAGTCATCGTTGTCCTCCTCCACCAACTCTTCCACATCCTCCCACTAACCTCCAACCCCAAGGACAGCACACACAAATTAGCCTTGAGGACATTGTTTTTCCTGAACACTCTGGAGTTTCAGAGTGATACACCAATAAAGGCTTCACTTTGCAATCACCACTAGCATTAGCACACATCAACAGAGTAAGCCTGTCTTTCATAGGCTGTCCTGGGACTGCCTTTTCCTCCTCAGTAATGTAGGTCCTGCTTAGCATTTTCTTCCAAAACAGGCCTGTTTTGTCACAATTAAACACTTGTTCAGGTTTCAATTCTTCACTGTCTATGTACCCTTGAATTCATGCACATATTTTTCAGCTGCTTTTTGGTCCAAACGGCAGCCTCACCATGCCTTATCACACTATGTATGCCACTACGATTCTTAAATCTCTCAAACCAACCTTTGCTGGCCTTAACCCTTTGAGGGTTTTCGTCGTACTAGTACGTCTTACGTGTAGGGGTTTTTGACGTACTAGTACTCATAAATTCTAGCGGCCTCAAATCTAGTGGGAGAAAGCTGGTAGGCCTTCAATAAAAAAAGGGGTCTATGTGGTCATGGGGCACAGTCTAAAA